ACTCAAATGAAGGTGTAGAACCATCTCAGGGATGATCAGCAGAAATGGACAGCACCTAAGTTAAATATGAGTGTCACAGAGCAAAGGGTCTGAATACTTATGACCATGTGATATTTCAGTTTTTCTTTTTTAATAAATCTGCAAAAATGTCAAATTCTGTGTTTTTCTGTCAATATGGGGTGCTGTGTGTACATTAATGAGGAAAAAAATGAACTTAAATGATTTTAGCATATGGCTGCAATATAACAAAGAGTGACAAATTTAAGGGGGTCTGAATACTTTCCATACCCACTGTAGATGCATACTCCACTGTGTTTTGTTGCTGTTTGTTTCCTTATTCTTTTTTGCAAAATAAATTTAAGTTGTTACATATAAAAAGTGACAGAAGAAAACTGGGAGCAAACAGTAACACTTAAGTGCTTTGAATGATTTTACTGTTCAGATCATTAAGTGTCAGTACAGACCGACACTCACTTGATGTTCACCCCACTCATTTGTCTCTTCTCTTCCGGCACCGTTTAATCCAATTTTGCCGTCATTCTGTCTTTCTTCTTTTCCTTTGCTTGTTTTCAGACTTGTGGTGCACTGGACATCACTAAGACATGTGATCAGTGTCTTTCCAGTGTTTTCCACACATAGACTCTACTTGGGTGGGCCGCCCACGTATCTTAATGGCCCTCAGTCCAGTGAAAATCACACATGGGAAAGTGCCTGTCCAGTGACAGACTTAGACCCCCCCCCCCCCCCCCAAAACCCACATATCTCTACTTTGCTAATGTCTCAAGAATTTGGCTTCATGCAGGATTCTGTTTGTTGCTTAGCAACACAACTCTAATCATTATCTACCCGTGGTTACGTGATCTGAAATGACTCTGTTCAACATGTGCACATACACACCATTAAGATGAAAAAACTATGCATCCATGGAAGTGAGTCATCATCCTCATGTCTGTTCCAGCTTTCCAGTTACTCAGTGCTTCAGAGTTTGGAGCAGGTTCCAGGTTTCTTCTGTGGCAGCTAACCGTACATTATGGATAGCTCACTAAATGATCGCTCTGTCTCTGACTTCCTCACTCTGTCCACCACTGCTCCTCCTCCTGTCTTTCCTCTCTGTGCTTTGTGAGTAGTGTTGGGTTCCCACATCGAGCACAGTTCAGAAGAACTTTGACCCTGTTTTGTCTCACTACAAACAGCTCTTTTCTTCTCCCTCGTTTTCCCTCTGCCTTCTCATTTTCCTTTCCTCTGCTCTCCATCTTTCACTCCCTCCACTCACACAATAAGGTCTAGTGTTTTAGGTTGAGGACTGGAGAGTGTGCTGGAAAATCGGGTACATGCTACATCATCTCTTCCGCATGTTCTTCTGGTTTCAAAGGGCCCACTTCCTTTATTAGTTTAATTCTAATGTACCTTTACATTCTGATACTTTCTGAATGTCTCTGATTGATCCGCCCATGTCTTTACTGTCCCTGCAGGTCTCTCCTCCTCTCTGAGCAATCCCTCAATTCAGGGATCTCTCAACAACTGCCAGCTGCAGTCGTCGCTAAGCAATCCCTCCATCAACTCGTCCCTGCGTCTGTCCAGTAATTCCCCCCGGCGAAGACCTGCTCCCATCAGCCCCCTCACCCTGTCTCCTGGCGCTGAGCAGCGCAGGGGTCTGACTAAGCAGCTGTCCCCCACCATGTCCCCCTCATTGTCCCCCATCACGCAGGTATACACACGTCACACTAAAGGTTTCACAGTGGGTTTTTTTTGTAGTGCTTTGATAATAAAAACTAAAATTCATGTACTCCTGGTGGGCTGCAAAGGCATTACAGGTAATCCCTGATCATGCATTCAGTAATGTAGTTTCACTGTAGGAATAAAAAAAAAAAACTAATTTCCATATATTACTTGCTTGTGAATAATCACTTTCATACAAATATATACATTTTAGAAAGATTAAGGTGGCTTTCAGGAATAATCCAGTGTAGCCACCCCACAACACTGGGCCCAGGGTTACTTCTTAGAGTGGTCACAGTTAGATGAAAATCCCTGGTATAGTTGGAAATGTGTAGTAGTTTGTTGTGTACTGTTAATGTCAGTTAACAAAGATGATAAATGTGGAGGTTCACTGGATTTAATTTTGGTTGATCTTTTAGGGGGTTCATAAAAGGAGGTTCCTGGTATTTACTTACACTACAAAAAAAAAACGAACCTCTGCTGTCAGAAGTAATTTTGTATTAAAAACACTTCTGTAACAAGAGGAAAATGTACAGTTATTGAAAATGAAATCCATCCCACAAGTAAAATTCCCTGGCATTGCAGAAAACCGCTGCAAAACAGTGGTGCAGTTGTTTTTAGCCCAGCTCTGTGATGGACAGGTTAAGAATCAACTTTATTGCCAATTATTATCAAAAATACGAGGGATGTGACTCCAGACCAATGGCCCTCAATGTGTATAGAAATAGAATAAAACCAAAACCACAAGTTAAAAAAAAAAAGTGCACACATGCATATATACAAGTTAAAAGAACTACTGTAGCTAATGTACATCTGTACGTTGTTGTACGGTGGTGTGTACGGTGGTGTGTACGGTGGTGTGTACAGCGTAACATAGTCTAACTGTTCATCAGAGCGACGGCCCAGGGAAACAATCTGTCTCTGTGTCTAGATGTTTTAATTTACAGTGACCTGTATCGGTGAAAACTGAAGAAAAAATGTCCAGACTGAGCCTTCAGATGTTCAGAAGCTCATCCCTAGTAAAAGTAATCTTGGCAGGGTTGCAGAATACTGACAGAAACAACAACAACAAAAGCACACAGGAGCACATGATTGAGACAGCCCTGATCAGCGCCATGACAGCAAGCTGTGTTGCAGTTCTGTTATGACACCACAGTCGGACTAAATACGATCAGACCAGACCTCCACTGATGCATTTTTATTAAACTGTAATCGGTCTGCTGGTCCTCTCTGACCTGTCTAGGGAGTCGCTTTGGATACCAGCAACATGCCAAGGGAGCCGCCCCCACCCTATCCGCTCTACCAACAATCCCAGCATGCAGTGGACCAGGCCCGACAATGTCAGCAGCAGCAGCAGCAGCCGCAGCAACAGTTTCTCCACTTCAGAATATCCAGCTGGACTTCAACACGAGCCAAGTAAGTGTGGACTTCTTTGTCGGAGGGCGAGTCCATGGACACAACCATTGTTATACACCGGAGTTTGTGGTGTTCTCTCTATGCTCATTGTTGATGTGCATAATCAGATTTTATCTCCCTGCCGGGCAGAAATTAGTGTAGAGATCAGATTCAACATTGTAATTCTATTAAGACACACTAATACACACTTCTCTCTAGTTTCTCCACCTCAAAGATAAGTTTTAAAAAAGTACAAGGTGATATTTTCAGATGTTTTATTTAGTTTGTAAAAAAAGTCAGTTTACAATTGTGTTAAACTGTGAAAAGCCTCAAATCCTCAGTGTGGAGAAACTGGAACGATTAACCTTGGCATCTGACTTTGTTTTAGCCTCTTGATGAAACTGCATATTACAGTAACTGTAATGAGTTTTTTTACTTTCAGTCTAGTTTCCATCGGTGAAGTTGTTGCTGCCTTTGTTGTCTACAGTTACCATGGTTACTAGTGTTGTGGAAAAGTCTGTTTGTATGTTCTCACACAGTGTCGTGTCCCTGTGTTCTGGATTCCCTCACATCTGGGCTAAAGTCCTGGTCCCTGGGCTCAGCGTGAGCTAAACATTAATACAGTGAGATTCAGATGGTCGACTGCCCACGTTCATAGATATCTGACTGAAATGTCAGCTGCCGCTAATTTGTCTCAGCTGGTCTTAGCATTGTCCTAATTCTAAGTGGATTGGAGATGAATTTAGTTCATAAACTCTTTTCTTCCAAGAAGCGCCAAAGTCAGATGATGCGGAATGTGAGATGCTTCTTTTTGACAATAGCGCAACAGGTCAAGCAGCAAAACTAACATTTGAGCAGGAGAGATTTTAGTTTTACTGTTGGGGAGCTACAGTTTGTGTTTCCTCAGATGCTGCACCTCAGGGAGTAAGACGTGGCATAAAGCCGTCATTACTTCATGTCCATTCTGTCTCTTTCATGTTGTTTAGTTTGTATTAAGGAAACGTAAAACATTTTGTTTTGAGGTCATTTTAAAATGTCTTTTTTTTTTGTGAAAGGTCATCATTGAATAGTTTTAATCAGTTTTCACTAAAAAGAAAACACAATTATTTTAAGTAATAATAAATTATTTTAACAACCCCAGTTTTTGCAGAATATTTTTCTGTCCACAAATCCTTTCAGTCCTGGTGACCCTTCAATGGTTCTGCTAGGATTTTTGTTGTAGCTTCCAGGTAGTCACAGTGTTTAAATCACTGCCTAACTGTTAGGCCTGCTCCACCTCAGCAAATCACTGATAAAAAAGTTCTTTATATATATGTCGCACATCATAGTAAATAGTAGAAACACAAACTTGACAGTCTGACATGTTAGGACTCTTTTCTTCCCTGACAGCACAACAATATGGCAGCCCTCTACAACGACCCCTTCATGGAGCCCCATTTCTCCAGTCGCCAGAGCAGGACTCTCTCATATCAGGTACAGGTCAACGCACACACTCACACATTGTGTCCATGTTTGGATGGGAAAATGTGTAATATTTGTAATAGGAAAGCAAAATAAGTCCTGACAGGGTGACTGAAGACTAAAAGCAGAATCTACACAGATGTAAGTAGTGACCTGCATGGTTGGTTCCTCATCAGGATAAATTCAGCTCTTATCAGTGGATTTTCACATCACTGTAGTCAGTTCTAGGCTTATTGTTGTGAGTAAACACTGTGAGCCACTCGAAGCCATCACAACACGACCACAGCTCCGCTAACACATTCTTTGCCATTTTCTCTCCATCTGCCGTCTAGTTGGACCAATTCAATCTGTTGGACAGCGCCATGATCTCCACAGCAGCAGGCTCCTGCTTCGACCCCGCCTCCTCTTCCTCTGCTCCCTCCTCACTCTACTACTACCAGGCTGCCCCCTCAGGACTGGGTGGCAGCCATGGCAGCCAGCAGGACCCCATGCACATGAGGTCCAACATGCTATACTCCAACTGCAGCGGAGGTCTGCCTAACATCATACTCACTGGTGAGTCCGACAGCTCGGTAGGCCAGTGTGGTGTCCTTTATAGGTCACCATAGGTGATCTGTGGAGGGTCTGATGGGCTTTATGGTTGCTCCTTGGCAAGAGGAATTTAGTGCTTTTATCTTGGTGGTTTGAAGATTAACTGGACACAAAGTATACACAGTACGTACAGTCAAGCCCGAAATTTTTCGTACCCCTGGCAAATTCTGACAAAGTTACTTTTATTCAACCAGCAAGTTTTTTTTGACAGGAAATGACACAGGCGTCTCCCAAAAGATAATAATACGATGTACAAGAGGCATCATTGTGGAAAAAATATTTTTCAGCTTTTATTTACATTTGAACAAAAAGTGGCATGTCCAAAATTATTTATACCCTTTGCAAACTGTCGCAGTCTATGGGAAAATCCAAAGTTCTATACCATACCAAATAGTCCAAGCTGTTCTAAAGCATCCTAATTACACTGATTCATTGGGAACAGCTGTTTTAATCAACTCAACAGGTGGGAAAAACAGAAGCTCTCTGCTGTTGGTTTGTGGACAGTCATGGCTAAGACAAAGGAGCTCACTGAGGACCTGCGGCTGCGCATTGTGGCTGCTCATAAGTCAGGAAAGGGCTATAAGACCATATCTAAATGTTTTGAAGTTCCAGTGGCTACAGTGCAAAGTATTACAAAATACAGGACGTTCTGCACTGTGAAAAATCTCAGAGGACGTGGTCGGAAGCCAAAAGTGACACCTGTGCTGGCCAGGAGGTTAGTGAGAGAGGTAAAAAAAGAATCCAAGGATCACCACCAAGGCCATCCTGATGAATCTGGGCTCTGCTGGTGGCAACATCTCAAGGCAGACAGTCCAACGGACGCAGACCAAGGAGGACACCACTTCTCCAGATAAGGCACACAAAAGGTCGCTTGGCCTTTGCAATTGCCCGTCTTGACAAAGAAGAAGACTTCTGGACTTCTGTTTTATGGTCAGATGAAACAAAAATTGAATTGTTTGGCCACAATGATGTAGCCTTCATTTAGCATAAAAGAGGAGAAGGCTTCAACCCTAGGAACACCATCCCCACTGTCAAACATGGTGGTGGGAACCTAATGTTTTGGGGGGTGGTTTTCAGCTGGTGGACCAGGGAACCTAATGACACTAAACGGCACCATGAAAAAGGAGCAATACATCAAAATTCTCAACAACATCATCAGGTAGTCTGCAGAGAAACGTGGCCTTGGGCACCAGTGGATATTTCAGCACAACAACAACCCAAAACACAGCATAAAAGAGGAGAAGGCTTCAACCCTAGGAACACCATCCCCACTGTCAAACATGGTGGTGGGAACCTAATGTTTTGGGGGGTGGTTTTCAGCTGGTGGACCCG